CTGTAAAAGGTTGTAGATCGCAAATTAACCATTGAAGAAGGTATTTGGTATGTTCTTTTTGTTCTTTTTCACCAAAAGAATCATAGTTCTATGATTTCTAGAAGGTAGTTGTAATTGGTGGCAATAACTGAGGTGTTTACGAAGAGAAGACACACCTGTTGTTAACATATACTTATGTGAGCACATCTTGCAAACATTATATCCTAGTGCATAAGATGGATTCCTATCAAAATACTCCCATACAGCACTTGTTCTTGATACAGATGATGAGGTAACATCTGTTTCTGATTGCTCATCACCAAATACTTGACTAATAGACTCATCAGAATTTATATTGTCAAAATCTTCATAATAGGAGTTATTCATATCTTGGTCCATAAAGATTTCTAATTGTCCATCCATTTTATAAAAGTATATATAATAAATTGAAGGTAATTAAAAATAATTGATTTTTAAAGAGAAAAACAATCACGTGTATATGTAGGTAATTAAAAATAATGGATTTTTGTAATCACGTAGGTAATTAAAAAATAATTGATTTTAAAGAGAAAAACAATCACGTTGTATATGTAGATAATTAAAAAAAATAATTGATTTTTAAAGAGAAAAATAATCACGTTGTATATTGATTTTTAAAGAGAAAAACAATCACGTTGTATATGTAAGTAATTAAAAAAAATTAATTGATTTTTAAAGAGAAAAACAATCACGTTGTATATGTAGGTAATTAAAAAAAATAATTGATTTTTAAAGAAAAAAACAATCACGTTGTATATGTAAGTAATTAAAAAAAATAATTGATTTTTAAAGAGAAAAACAATCACGTTGTATATGTAGGTAATTAAAAAAAAATAATTGATTTTTAAAGAGAGAAACAATCACGTTGTATATGTAGGTAATTAAAAAAATTAATTGATTTTTAAAGAGAAAAACAATCACGTTGTATATGTAGGCAATTAAAAAATTAATTGATTTTTAAAGAAAAACAATCACGTTGTATATTTAGGTAATTAAAAATAATGGATTTTTGTAATCACGTAGGTAATTAAAAAATAATTGATTTTTAAAGAGAAAAAAAAACACAGTGAGACTTGTTGTCAGTTTACTGATTATATTAAAGATTTTACTTTAATTGTAGTAAATAAAGTCGGAATAGCTACCCTTTTTATATGTTTTTTTTTACAATTTGCCAAAAAACTATCTGTGCCAAAAGTATTTATTAGGAAGTCTTTTTTTTTTACCAAAAGACCATTTTTTACAATTCACGCCAAAAGTCTATTTTTTTATTTAAATGATCTGTTAAGATCACTTCAAAAATCTTTTTTACAATTCGCCAAAAGACCATTTTTTACAATTCAAAAAATCTTTTTGCAATTCATGCCAAAAGTCTATTTTTTACAATTTAAATGATTTATTAGGATAATGTCAAAAGTCTTTTTTTACAATTCGCCAAAAGATCATTTTTTAAATTCACGCCATAAGTCTATTTTTTACAATTTAAATAATTTATTAGGATAATGTTAAGACTTCTTTTACAGACCATTTTTTACAACTCTTTTTACAATTCACGCCAAAAGTCCATTTTTTTAAAATTTAAAATGATTTGTGTCAAAAGCCTTTTTTGCAATTCGCCAAAGGTCCATTTTTTTATACAATTCAAAAAAAATCATTTGCAATTCGCCAAAAGACCATCTGTTAATATTAAATAATTAAATTTATTTGAGGTCAAAACCACTTCACCATATCAGGATATTTTAATATCCGTTTTTGTCATTTTCATTTGCCTTCCTTCATTCCTATTGGTCAATTTAGTGATTGGCAAAACAAAAATAATCGCCAACATTAAATATTAATATGGACAATGACTAGATAGTATCTCATAAACTGTTTTCATATTAGGAAGTAATACCTTCAAAGAAAATTTTATATGTAGTGAAAATTTTCAAAGAAAATTAGTTTTGGCAATAATATTTTGTGTTACATTTATTTTGGAACCGGTTCGAATGGTTCGGTTCTATTGTAACCGGTTCCATGGAACCAGAACCGAACCGAACCGAACCGCCCCATCCCTATTGCTGACAAAGATGTATATAATCATGTGATAATTTTAACCTACAGGACAGGGGACTGATTGGGCAAAAACCCCATTCAGTCCCCTACCCAAAATTATAAATTGGTTAGTATCAGAGAAACAGAGCATTTATGAAAATGATTATACAAAACAAACAACTTTCCTCAGAGTACAAATGTAATTTCAGGGCCGCAAACCCTGCTCTGGATTGTGACCTCCTGTGCTTGAACAAGCTGCAGATTCTCTTAATATTCATCAGCAGAGTTGCAACTTGGTCACAGCCATCCTTACCCTAGAGGTGGGATCGTTGCAGATGATTTTTCGACTACGGTGCAGATCATCTATAATCATTAATTGCTTATAGTAACAATTGGTCAACTTCAAAATACTAAAACAAAAAAA